TTTGTCACTTTTCGCCCATGGCATGGAACAACCACTGATTTGAATATTTTAAAATCGGACCCCTTGGAAGAGCATCACACTTCGGATGCAGCGGCGTTCTCAACGCACAGTTAACGAACTTCGATTGTGTGACTATTGTTTGCCTCTACAGGAAGGAGTGAACTATTCACGCGATGAACTTTTGAATGAAGTATCAAAATCATATGAAGATGCAATTGTAATTTGGGAAAATGAAATATTCTTCGCATAAGAGTAGTCACGCTGTGGGTTGAACACCAAGATTCTTTCACAATTCGACTTCATGATAGCAAATGGATACGGCCACTGTTAGTGAGATGGTTAGTAAGAAGGCGCATACCGATTGAACGATGACGAAAAAACAAACGAGAAATGGTCAATATCTTGCATAATACTACCTAACATTTATGCAAGCTCACCTAGCCATCGACATTCTGTAGAAAGATATGATTTTCCTACACAAACATTGCCCGTCTGTTAGGATTCTTAGTTTAACTCTCTGTTGAACCTAACGTTTCGACGTGATTTTCGTCTTTCGAGGCCTTAACGCAACTCGTGGTGAATCACAATATCCAACAGTGTTTGGTCCTTGTAGCAAAAAACAACAAAAAAATGAAACTCTTCGGAGAACTACCCACTTTATGAGCTACGCACATGCATCACTGTAGTAGCCGATAAAACCAGCTGTTGAGACAAGCGACTGTCGATAAAAATGAGACTCCATCATGTTTCTCTTTTACTTATTATAGGAGAGGTCACATTTTGATGCGACTGACCATAAGTCATAGCTCGCAGAGCGGTGAGTATGGCAAGAAGTGACTGGTTATGGACGGGTCTCTAACACCTTTCTTGCGAAAACTTCCGTTTCCTGAGCTAATATCGTGTCGACCGGGAGCAAGCAAAGTTTTTCCGCGGCTCATTCTAGCTAATTGATCTTCTGTCCACAGAGCTGGCTGTAATCCTGTCTCACCGATGTAAAATTATCTGCATGCCCGATGTTCTAGCTGGGTGGTAAGAAGGTCTAGATCAGGTCTATTAGTGTGCAATCACCTTTTTTCCCGTCAGGACATATGATACACTCATTTGTCAAGCATTGCTCATAGTAGAGCCGGCTTCAAAGTGACTGTTGCTTGGTGCTGCTGCCGGGAATATTTACCAAATTAACAACATCTTGCAGGGCAGCTCTAGAGATTCTGTTTGTATTGTAGTGCTGACTTTATCTCAGATGAATGGATGTCAACGTTGCGTTTCAATTTCGACAGACGCGAAGCTCCGTGCGTAGTAGTGAGCAGCATTTTACTACGTTGTGGTTCCATATAGCCATTCAGCAGCTATCTCGCAGGCTTGTGGCTCAGTTGTTGCAGCGTGCATAAAGATACTCTCAATAGGGTACTAGCTTTACGACTGTGGCAACAGTCGTAAAGCTAGTATCCTAGTAAGAATATCTTTATGCACGCTGCCACAACTGAGCCACTTTTATCCGCCTCAACGGTGGGAACTGGTGAGAATTTCATGGAGTAGGGTAGTTTTCCAATGAGTTTCAGTCGATGTTGTGCTGAAGGCTTTGCGAACTTCTATGCATTGAATTACAACTACCGATCTTGAATGGAGGTGCACTGTCAAATCAACCAAAACCAAAAAGCCCCGAAAATTTCCTTTTTTTTTGCTCCATAATTTCAGCCTTATCTCCAACTGTAATAAATTATTAAACTCCAATGTTTTCTAATTTCAAAATATTCAATGGTACTATAAACTCTTCATATGATTAGCTCATATTCGGTTGGGTTCCGATGGAATTACGTCAACGAGGAACATAGGAGGATGGTAATAGCAATGTTATGAGCGGTTATCTGTGTATGTGTACGAACTCCGTTGATAACGGGAGTCAATACAACAATGCAAATCAAATCAGTGGTGGGAGTAGGGCTACTACTCTTGTACTCAGAAATTCTAAGAATTGCTCAAACTCGTGCATATGAAAGTGACTTTCAGATAGATTAAGGTATATGGGATATGAACCATATCAAATGGGTTACGGTAAGGATAATATTATTACAGGTCTTATAAAATGCTTAGCCAGGAATAGGTTTTACGCTATAAATACGGCTTAGAATATAAACCACTTATTAGAATAATCGACACATACTATGATAGCATTACATAGTTCTGCAACTACTTCAAGAACACTGAAAGTATACAAAGTGCAGTCCAGTAATTTTCGTGTTACAACCTCCCTTTTCGTTTTACAACTCCCTTTATATTCCTTATGCATTCTTTAATTTCAACTAATTATATATAGCAAGTTATATTCTTTTGTTCTCCCTTACCCTACTGATGAGCACGGAGGGAGATTATTGTCTAGTTTGACTTCCGACTAGGGCACGTGCGTAACGGAAATTGAACTACTTCTTTGATTTATCCCCCCTTAATTCAACAAATTTGTTCTAATGTCAATATATTCAGTACTTTATTTACTATGAAATTGGCATGATCGTATACATTCATCGAAGTGTCAAAAGGTCAACGTAGGGTTGCAAATTTAGATCCACCCAGTCGAAAGTCTCGATCTCGCGCACACTGAAGTTTCTCCAGAATTCCGATCTTCAAGGCCTGAATCAAGTTCAACAGCACGTATATCGCTCACTTCGGATGCATTTCTCAGATTCTTCACACGGCAACAAGTCCGATGTTGTTGAGCCTTACATTTGAAGGAAGGTGAAGGGACTAGCAAAATGGAAGTAGCGGTATGTCATGCATTGGAAATCCTTCAAACCGATACTAATATGCGGGTAGGGTCATATCTTAGATATTCATCATTAGGAACACATACCAAGAGAGCCAAAAATGTATTATACTACATACAAGTGGCCGAGTTAGCGAGCTGTTGTAGCTTTTGTACTCGGCCTCAAACTCCGCTACCACTCTGCATGAAGTCCTGTTTATGATTCAAGAAAATAAATAGATTCGTCCAACTACAGTCCCTAAACAGAATATATGAACAGCTCCAAAAAGAGCAATTCGTCATCGATCATTATCAATTGATTCGAATTGGTTGATGTTTGCGAGTTATGTTTATCCAAGCTAACGCGATCATCTGTAATTTGATTCCGTGACTGCGCTTGATCGTCATTTATACAAAATGCCCATCGCTTCGAAGCACCTTTTCCGGACCAAACAGTCGACTCATAATTGATTTCCCATCGAATATTCAGAATTTTATCCCTCTCCTTTGATGTCATTTACTCCTGCTACTCCTCGTTGTTTAAAATTGCAATGTTTAAAAACAAACACAACCAAAAACAATGATTTTACATCCGATGAAGCATCAAAAAACTAATGACAACAAGCCTAAGCCAGCCTTCGAAGATGAATAAATTCGGCGTTTGAATTTCATTCGCTTTGATCTTTCACAGTTCTTCTTTAGAAGTTTTCTTGATTAAGTTATTTCATCATCTTTTACACTTTTCAAAGAAGCCTAGTTGAAGTTTTTCACTGAGTCCCGAGCTCCGCCAGGTGCTTTTATAGTGATTATTTCCTACGTAGGGTGTAGTTTATAGTGTGGTCAAGCAGATTGTGTCTCCGTGGTGTCATATATATCCAGATTTCACATTAGGAGCGGTGGACCCCGTTTTTGAGAGGCACAGACTCTGAAGAAGTCATTATGAGCAGTGGTCAGCTAAACGCACTTATATATTCAATTTCCAGATGTAACCTCTCGTTATTGAACGAATTAGCATAAAGTAGTCTCAAGGTTTGAAAACGAAGTACTGAGGCGGTCAGTCGTTCTGGGCTCTCCGCCCTAGCAGAAATGCAACTTCGAATATTATGATATATTCAAGCTCCTCTATTTCTGCCAATTAGGTAAAGACAAAATTATGGCTCCTAAGCATCCATGCTAAAAGGCATTTGAGAAGATCCACTACCCAACAACCTCCCCCTCCCCTGTTTCTGAGAAACCCTATACGAGGGAAGCCTACGGCCTTTTCAATGAATTTGATCAATTTTACACATCGGAAATGGGAGCTATACATGCCTTACGTAATTCAATGAGTAAGAGTTTGGATGCCCAAAAAGAAGAGGTTAGGCTTGAATTTTTGTGAAAGATAACCATCAAAGCTGACTTTTAATAGCTCTACAATGCCAGTGTTGAGTGCCAAAAACCAGGAAGACAGTTCAAGTTTTCTGAACATGTGAAAGACCTGTTTTTGTACTCGCCCACTTTCTGGGAGGCTCCCAAGCATACTACAGTTACTGCTCCATCTCTGCCGAAGCTTCAACACATTCCTAAGATTTTAAGCCAAAGCGGTGATTATGCTTAGTTACTGTACGACCCACTGACCAATTTCTGTATTGTGTCTCGGCCGGTTCGACTGAACATTGCATCCCCTTTTGACTGGCTATTTTCTCATTGAGAACTTGGAAGAGATAAATATCACAATCTATCCCCCATAACAGTTATTAATAAGACTACGAAGCGGGTGTATGCTGAGCGCGTGGCGTAACCCAATAAGAAAATGGTCTTTAGCGAGACATTGATACTTCTGTTTTGTCGAGTGTTTCGAGCTTTCCTGTGAGTTGCCAAAGTCCTTCAGTTTTTCTTCTTTATCATTGTGGATCTCCTCACCTCTTCCAGCCTTGGCNTGTGCGACCCGCTGACCGATTTCTTCACTGTGTCTCGGCCAGTTCAACTAAACATTGTATCCCCTTTCGATTCTCAATGAAAACTTGACAGGGTAACAAACATAATATATCCTCGATATAAATAATATCGCGAAATGAGTGTATGTTGAGCGCGTGGCGTTACCCCTATAGTGAAATGGTCACCACCGAGACATTAATCCATTTGTTGGTCACCACCAAGAAATTCTTTTTGTACCGTCTGGTGTTTCAAGCATTCATGTGATTTTCCAAATTCCCTCACTGATTCTACTTTATCATTGTGGATCTCCTCACCTCTTCCAGCCTTGGCTTATCGCTTAGATATGCAGTCGATATTCATCCTTAGCGTGTGCTCGGCTCTGCTGCTTATTTTCGCACAAGAAGAGCCCGAAGGGATAGACGCTGAAGGAGGAGATGCCGAAGGTGAGCAGTACTTTGGAGCAAGATCTACTAACAGCTACCAACAACTTTGTGTGAAATTTGCAGACGGCGACCATATCAAACGCTTTCTTTTGTCTAACCTTCTCCAGTTGTATAAAATTTTCACTTTTTTAAAATATAATTTTTTTCCAATAGAATTTTTGAAAAATAAATTCATATACAAACAATAGAAGTGTAGTTTTAATGCCACCTACAATTCCATAAATCATCGACATGTCCATCTACATGTCTCCAGAAAGCTATCTGAATTACGTTCTCTAACACAAACGCTGCTCACAACTTTGGGACTTCAGGCTTAAAAGGAATTGCCCGGAAACGAACATAGGTTGGCTATTCTCCCAGAAATAAAAATAAGAGAAAGGTGCGGGCTGGGGAACAGGAGGCGCTGTGACCGTCGCCGAGACCAGGCTACTGCGTAGCGTCTTTAGGTAATCCCAACATGAGATAGCGGCGCTTGTCAGTCAGCGAAAAGCAGTCATTTTTCATCACGGTAGAAGCTTTGCTGATAACTTTTGTGTAATGTTGCTTTCTCTGTAGGTAAAATACGATGGGATAGCTCTTTAAACTGGTCGCAAACGGAGCACATCTAAGAACCCTCACGATTGAGTAGGTATTCACCAAGGATGTGAAGTGAATACTATACTTTCGAGGTCATCCGAAGAAAACAATAGGGCCGATAGTCAAGTAAAGTCAACGCTATCAAACGTACTTTAGAAGTTTATCCCCATAAATTAGATTATCTTTTGCTTTGCTTCATCAAGTCAAAGAAAGTCTGGGTTTGATTCTGAAAAGCTCTGTAACATTGTTGCAAAATTAGTCGACGCTTAGAGATTTACAACAAGACCTACACCGAGCATCAGACAGCACTGGAGAAGGCCATATTCAAGGACTATGTGAACACAAGAAGACCTGTGAGGTAAGTCGTTCTTCCAGCAAATGAAGGAGGTTCTGACGAGAATTACAGGAACTCTTCTCAACCAGTGGAAGTCAGTGTCCATTTCCACATCGTGCATGTGTCAATCAGTCAAGAAGAACAGACAATGACTGTCCATGGTCATCTCTATATGGTAATTGTCGCTGGATTAAGAAAGTTATTGGAAAACATTTAGTGTGAAAGTGTAAAATCTGAAACAAGAAGAAAGCTCAAAGGATCATTTTCCTTGATCCATTCATGAGTTATCCTTCACGGTATTTGATTTACACAGAAACTAATACCTACTTTTTCGTTTGAGGTATATATATATATAATATTATATATTGGTAATACAATATAGTTTCTGTCTTACCAAAAACTTCCGTTTTGAATGGACAATAAAACTGAGATAACCCATCAATCAAGATGAGATTTGGTTTTGTACAGAGCACAAGCGAGGATAGGCCTTCTCAGCCCCGGCACTGTCTTAATACTGAAGCCCTCTATGATTTCCAGTGTAGCTGTCAGATTGTTCTAGCATGGTAATAGTAGACTTCACTAGGGGTTCCGGCTGTCTTCAGAGGCAAAACCTTTTAATTTAATCGGCGCGTTTTAATTTGGTGAGCATCAGTGGTTTGAAAAGTTTTCTGCAGCCCTCACCATAACCTGAACGCTTTCGTTGCGGCTAGTCGTTACCATTTTTGTTTTGAACGAAAGCAATATGATTACGTTCAATTAAACGGAATGGTGAGTGAATCAAGTCATATTCGGTCTGTGGGTACTACGAGAAGACGCATTACGCCTTTTCATGAGGAATGTTTTTAGTTTTTAAAACTTTATGCGTCCACATGAGAACATCACTGTCGGCAGGCTCTCTACGCATCCCTCTGAATTAAGTCGAAACCATTTCAAGAAGACCCAATGGTCGTATCTCCTCGATCATGGCTTTACTATATCGTAATTCATCATTTACAAATAAAATCTAAGTATGTATCCACGTTGCTTATGAAACTACTTAACCAGAAGGCTACCACAATCTGTGTGGAACGTCTACCTAAGCTCCGAACATTCTATTTTTTGCTGTTCATCGCTGGAGATGACGGTTTTCGAAGGTTGAGAAAATATCACCAAAATAGGTAGAAAAGATCCCAACTAGCATCGGCTCGCTCTAACTAGGAGGGTGATCGTGTCCTGCGTGAACTAAAGAACTCCAGACTTGGATTGACGAATTTCTCGTATGGGACGTAAAAGACTACAATGGAATTCGAATTACCAGATCTTCAAAATGGAGAATATGGCAGCCAAAGATTGTCATAGCCAACAGGTCAGTGTTGTGTGCCATTTAGTTCATGCGAAAGACAGATATCATAGCTGTTCAGCGTTTCCGGAATCTATTCTGCTTTCGAGATCTCCACTCATGCCCATGTTATTCTTCAATCGCTAGGGAAAGAGGTTCGTTTAAACATAATTTTACTGTGAATACATTATCCTGTATAAAATTCCAGGGACAAAGACCTTTTCTTTTCTTTTGAGGGTTCTTTTTCAAACTTATGGTTGTTTTTTTCAAATCTCTTCTCGACTTTATAAGAAATCCTGAAGCCCTCCTTTTTTCTGCTTTTTTGCAAGACTTCAGTTCATGAAAAATTGCTTAACAAGCTAAATTGATAAAAAAAAGCTCGGACTAAGCTTATATCAATTGTGCTCCATTGTTCATTGATCATCCTTCGATGAACTTGTGACCCCCAGTGATAGCACAAGGGACTCTGTCGGATGAAAAGCAGTCTAGATAGGTCGTGATAAGAGCCCAAAACCGGCCTAGCTGACGTACACACACAAAGGAGGACGAGTTCTCGCTGGGTTGAAGAGGCCGTGGAGGTTATGACATTCGCAGTGAGACGCACCCTTTGCACGCAGGCAGCTTACTGTAGCCAGCTGTGAGCAATTGCACACGCATTTGGACAGCTCGTCCAAATACCTCTCCCATGCACCTCCATGACTCGTCACATTTTCGCCCCACCCCTAAGTGTACTACTTTTTTGAAGCCTTATATTCCTCTGGATATGCCAACTTTTACGTTTTCTTCGTCACTTAAAACTGTCACTCTGGACTATCACTTTCATTATTTGTCAGAGTCTTAAATTAGTGCTCTAAAATTATCGTGAATCCCGCCTTCAGGTGAGCGATGCCTTGAATAGATGTAAATTTGCTTTGGTAAAAGAAAAAAGGTTATAAGTTGGTTATGTTGCCTGGTGATTGGGGTTTCGTAACCTCTAAGGAGAATGTTGTTGATTTCAGCAAACAAGGGTTGAGATGTATCCAACATTCTCAATCAAGGTTGGCTGCAGTTTCGAATTTGCTGATTATCCTAGGGATATGAATTCATGCTCGCTGACTGTGTACACGAGGCAGAGGATGAGTGAGGTAGGCTTCTTCTTCGCAGCAGATCTCTTGTGCAACTGCCGCCTTTTAGGTGATTCTCAAAAACTACTACGACATGCCACCCACGCTATCAATAGGTGAGTAGAATCGTAACACCCTGGGTCATGGGTAAGCTACTCCAAGGATGTCAAAAAATATCATCGGATTTTGATAAAACCGCTTCCATTGATCCGGAAAACATCCGACTGCTCGGGGTGTAACCCGTCAGAAGTAATATCAGCCCCAGAATTTATCAGAGAAGGAGTTTCTGTGTGGCTCAGAGATATCAAGTCTTTTTCGTCATCGTTGGATTTTACTCGTTACTACCTGGAGTTTCTTCGCCTATTGATTAGTATGAGAGCTTTAGGTTGGGGGAGTCAATCAGACAAGCGGATCATATCGGATTTCGAGATTCTCAATGTCTCCAGTCACGTTAATTACTACTCCAACGGTGAAGTAACAACGGTCGAGCCAACCACAGCAAATGAAATAGCTGAAACCTGGTGAGAAAATGATTTTTCCGGATTGAGCTTATAGCCAGAGGAACTGGAAATAACTGATGTGATGATCGAGTAATTTGAGGTCCGTTCTCCATACGACTATCTACTTTCGACGACACAGTGTGATGTTCGGCGTCTCCATGCTTCTTCCATGTTTGGTGAGTCGTAATTACTTCCTTTCTGGGACGCTGATTCCAAACCATTCTGGTGCAAACTCATTATATACTAGTAACTTTTTCATTTCAATTTATAGTGCACATCTAGTTCTTGCAGTAGATTTTTAGCATGACGTTTAATGCCTTTTCAAATGAAGGCTGGTATGTATTTTTCTTCAGCCTTTCCAAGAATTCGGAGTCAGAAGGTCTAACAACCATTGAAATCGATTCAGTAATAAAGCAAGATAAACCCAGACGGTTCTTAGACTAGGAGACTCCATGGACTCCGTTTACAAGACGCTTACCTTGATCTAGATCGTCGCAGCGCTAGATCGACACCCTGAATTAAAGTTATTCTTGTTTTGTCGGCCTTTCCCTCCTCACGAGTTTCAATGGCTGGCGGAAAATCAGTCACTTCAATGCCGTGCGACTATTTTCCATCCCCCTCTCCTGGCGTCTACTTTCAGTACCGGAATTATTTCCGTAACTGTAACGAACCTGAACAAGCTCAACATTTTTAAGAAGAGTCGGCCAAACTGAGCTTGTTCCACGACTGGCTGTTACAGAATAACCTACGGCTATTCTTACAGCGTTTATGGAATGGATATGCGTATGTCTGTTTTATGTAGTCTCTGACAGTACTACCTGATGAAGCATTAGGATAGGTCGAGTCAATTGGGTGAATTAGAATTCCGTAGGAAGATTATCAGAGCATATGTAAGTTCAGCGAACTACTGCCCTACGAGGAGTTGCGAGCATAAAGTGCATGAAATCGGGATTCGATTGAACTGAGGTCTATGGGTCAGATTCTTGGTGGGGTGGGGGGGGGGGGGGGGGGG